AGCTCTCAACAGCCTGTGACAATATAACTTTTATAATTCCGTAAGGAAAATAAGCTTTATGCTGGTACACCTACATCTGCACCAGTTACATCAGCACAGCAGCGAAACATTTCGGCATAGGGCAGAGGGGGAACTGGGTCAGCGGGGTGAGTGGACTTGGCGTTTGGTGCTTTGAAAATCCTGTCGTCACTCGCTCGGGAAGCAAGAGCTGTTGATGAAAGGCAATGTAATTATTGGCACTGGGCTGTATTAAGGTAACAGCATAAAAACATAACATTCCCCAGAAGAAATAAAGGTGTTAAAATAGCAGCTGGGTAAATACAAGATAATGAAAGAAAGCAGCGTGATTTCCCCAGGTTCAAATAAAACAGATGAGTATTTTGCAGAATTGACCTTATTAAAGAGACATTGTCACTTTAAAAAAAAAATCCAAACCCAAAACTATTATAGCAATAAGTGAAGATAGTTACCTATTAAACATAACAATTAATTCCACAAAAATGTCAACCCTTTTACTTCCATTTTTCATTTTTTCTGAAGTGCCAGGTCCATATATGTATTTTCATTTTTCTACAATTGACTCTTTTTGACACAATGTTGATGGTCTCTACCAGAACATCCAGTCATTCATTCTTGGTATTAATTATTCTTCATTAGGCTTAGCATGTGTATTCTACTTTATAATAAATCCATACATAATACTGAGGACAGAGAAATGAAACAGAAACTTACTGGAGGAAATCTCAACTCACTTGTTTCATGGAAACATTTTCATCTCCATCACTGCAAAACAACATTTTGTGTAAATCTTCCCTAAGATGTTTTTCACCATGTGGGATCTTTTTTATTAAAAAAACTCTTCAAAATGAAATCTTTTAAAGAAAAGCTTGATCTTAGAGTTAAACTAAACAACTGAGTGAGCAACATGTCTTGCATGCTAATCCAGTATCTGTATCTCTGATATGCCAAGCCAGAAATACAGCAAGGAGAATAAACAATCTTTTAAAATCTTATTCTTTCTAAAGGGAACTATGCAGGCTTCACGCTATTATCTATGACACTGTGATTTTTGTTTCAACCTCTATTAAGAGATGTAGCAAAGAACTTCATTACTCAAATTAATTAGACTTCAGCAAATGCATTCATGAGGAAACTACAGCATACAACATGAACAACAGGATCATATGACACAGCAGAAAATCTGGTGAATAATTACTTACCCCGCTGCAAATAGTTGCACAGGTCCAGAAGCATATGGATGCTGATTCTGTTTAAATCTATGGACACTGAGGACCTTGACAATTTTAAACATTCCAGTAAGTGCCCATTTAATCTTAAAAGGACCGAAGTATCTTAAAATAATTTTCTTTGAGTCTTTATACGGCGCTAGCATTTTGTCCCCACTGATGCATACCTCTGCTTTGACAAACACTATGTGGTCCTTCATGAGGGATCACACCATGAGCAGAAAGGTGGGCTAATGATAATGCTGAGGAGCCTGTGCACAATGAATAAGTCTCCTGAAAATCCTGAACTGGGAGCCAGGTTGTGCCCAGGGAGTGCCCTGGGCACGAGGGATGTGCTGTGCAGTGGGTGCAGACTGCAAGCTAACGTTACTTAAGTGCATGTTGAAGAAGTTATAAAAAAACCTACAGTTTATTAGTCCAGCGTGGAGAATAATTTCTTTGGTAAATGATACCATTGCCAGTAAGTCAGTTTTTACTGTGTGGATTAAAGCATCACTGCCCAAGGACAGTTACTTTTGCCTATTCTTTGCACGTTTTGGCCTCTTGGTCAATGGCTTCAGGTTGAGGGGAGACAACAGCCGCAATGGAGATGGGAGTACATTGTCAACAGTCAGGGACAAGATGAGAAGTAGCGAACTTGCAGGGGAACACAATTAATTGTGGGATTAATTAGAGGGTCCTTCATTTCCAGTACTTTCAATCTCAGTAAAATGCATTATATAGCTAGGTAGAAACCAACAGGAAGAGTTGCTAAACAAGTGACGCATTTCTTTGAAGTCCCAATTCTACAATGAGCACGATATTAGCACCCTTACCAGATACTTTTATCCTTTTATTTGGCTACATCTGTTTAAAATAGGAGGTTCAGCCAGACTGTAAGGTGTCCCTTTCTGATGTTAATTTAGTGAGAATGAAGAACAGTTTGCCCCATGTGGATAACGTTCAAATTCCTGAAGAATTTGGCCTTATATTACTTATTTTATTGATGA